AGAATTGAAAAAGATATTTTGGGGGGCAATTTGTTAGCTCACAAATTCGAAACCTCTTGTAAATTGAGACGTTAAAGAAGAAACACCAAAGGCTGGCTGGGAATAAAAGCTGACTAAAGAGTTCAAGATCTTTTGGGAAAGGGGTCGAAACACTCGGAAGATTTAGAAGAAATGTCGAAGTAGAGGGTTTCGACCGTGACGCTACTTGGCAGTAATTCTGAAGATTCGAAATTTGAATAAATTGGAGGGAGTAGTTTCGCTCGTTAGATGACTCAGAAGACATGTGGCATTCCGCGAGCGAAGAACCCCATGCATCATGACAAATGTCAAAAGATGATAATGTTGGGAAGTTATTGGTAGTTATTTCTTTTATTATAAATATGAGTTTTTAGAGATTGAATAAGGTGTTGTAATTTACTTTTGTGCAAGTTACTCCTAAAACTACTCCAAGTATCCGAGTGTAGAGAAAGAGAGTACCAAGGAGAATGTACGTGATGTAAACACACCATATTTTACTTTTCAATAAAGTTTACTTTGTCTTTTACTTTTATTAAGTTTCTTTACTCTCCTGTCATATTTTCCTCCCGTTTTATGTCTTTTGCTTTGCCTTTGACCTCCATTCCTTCTATCTCTTTCTATCTAAATTTCTGTCTTCTTCCTCTTTTCAGTCTAACAAGCAATTCTACCTTTAAAACTTTTTCACCCAACATTGTCGAAGTGTATAACTCAGACAGATTTTAGAAAACGAAACCTTTTAGCACATGTCCTAGGGTCAATCTAATCGATCATGTGAGTCACCAAAGTTAGATTTGGAAGATCAGCGGTTGTTTTTTAATTTTCCAGGGAAACACTAGGTTTTATGGTTCCCTAAACGTGGTCTAGTTTGTTCCCTCTTTTTAGGGAGGTTGTTAGCCGGCTATATCTTCGGACTCAACAAAGATTTTTTCTTACTTAACTTTTATGTTGAACAGACCGCGTGGGCGACTCTATTATACTACGTACAGATGACTCATTTGTAAGACGATGAATGACCTTATCTAAGACTTTATTAAATAGAACACTTCTCTCTTTATTACTTATTGATACAAAATATTTCTAATTTTATTAATGAAAATAATTTTCATAATTGTTTCTTTTCACATACAAAATTAATTATATTTAAAAAAAAAGAAGTGAAATGGTAAAAAAAACGAAAAAGCAAATAAAGGAAAAGAAACAAGAAGAAAAAAGAATATAAAGAAGAAAATAACCCCCTTTCCTTTCTTGCACTTCGATGCTATTACTATCTTGTTCATTATTATTGTTGATGATGATAATGGTAACCTCTTAGATCATAATTACGATGACGAGTAATTGAAATCAAACCAACAAGAAGAATCAAAGAGAGTCTCATGGCACTCGATACCAAAACCGTTGTTGAAGTTAAAGCCCTTGAGAAGGTAACCCTCGTGAGATTTACACGCTAATTACCATTCCCTTGTTCTGAATTATCAATTACTCTATCCGGGTCTTCGTTTTTTCAGTTAAATTTTCCGTCTTGAAAAATGGGCATGCCTTAAGTTTTGTCGGAGGAATAATTATCACAGAATTAAACCTTACATAACTCGTAAAAGATTCTGACTTGCAAGTCATAAGCTTTAGTGTTAGTCTGAATTTAACTTATGAAAACTTTCTGATGGAAATTTGCTGGTTATATACTTCTAAAACTATAATTCTCTGTGTAAAATGGTCCTTAATGCATCTGTTCTGATCTAGAACTCATGTTTACACCGGCAACGATGGTTGGATGATAGCTCAATGGCGGTATTGATCGAAATAACCATCGTCGTCTGGTAGGGAGGTGTATCTTCAAACACTCTGACGCCCAAGTTAGTATTGACCGTGAGTGTGAGGTTTAGAGTTAGACTAGTGTGGATCTTGAGAGGTGGTGATGTGAGGTGTGGTATTGGGTTTGTCTCAGCCAAAAGCCCAGTCCGAAACATGGGATATGATATCTGTTTTAAAGGTGGTGATGTGAGGTGTGGTATTGGGTTTGTCTCAGCCAAAAGCCCAGTCCGAAACATGGGATATGATATCTGTTTTAAAAAATGTTATTTTGTGAAAATAAAATACTAGTTGCTGATAACTGTTTAGAGAGTAAAAGAAGATACAAAACATGGGTAAGCGGTCAAATTAGTCTCTGCCTTTGTAGGGCGCTCTCAAATCGGCCCGTGAGAGTATGAATATTTCAGAAAGGTTCTAAACTCTGTCAAGTTTTATTCATATTAATCCTTCGATATTAACGTTAGGGACCAAATTGATAGTAAGTAGTTAAAAATAGGGACCAAATTGATAGTAAGTTGCATAACATGATGACTTAATTGATAGTAAGTAACTTCACATTTTAATAGAGTTAGGGATCTTTTTGAAATATTCATAATGTCTAGGATTAGTTTGAAAGTGTTCTACTAAAACGATTACTAATTTTCTAGTTAACTCTACAGAACATTGAGGTTTCAACTTCAATTACTGCATTTTGTTGTGGTCGTCTCCGGTAATGATGGTGTACATGTGATGGTTGTGGAATATGAACTTGCAGATTTAGCACTCTTTGAAGTTAACATAGCATGGACAAAAGAAACACTAGTATAATCAGAAGTTCATGTTACAGTGGGATGTAATTGTAAACATCTCTTCCATAAGTCAGGTTAATCATCTAAGAGGGTTGTGTCAGAGTTTGCTCCATAACAGATTGTTATATCTTTCACTATCTTCTAATTGTTATCGTTTGGTTGTACATATTTATGTTTACGAGAAGAAAATTGTGTAAAATTATTCGATGTTTGTCATACTTTTTGTAGGCTTTAGAGGAAGTTGAAAAGAATTTTGTAACAATGAGAACTATGCTTTCTGGAGATGGGGAATCAGAACCGAATTTAGATCAGGTTTCGCAGCTTGTGGAGGAAATCTGCAAGGAGGAAGTTCTTACTCTCGTAATTCACAAGCTGCCTATACTTGGATGGGAAGTAAGATTCCGATACAGAGCACTATCATATGCATGCAGTTGACTTAACTGGTTTCTCATTATTGGTGCGTGAATTTTGATACAGGCTAGAAAGGATTTAGTCCACTGCTGGTCCATATTATTGAAGCAAAAGGTTGACTCCAATGATTGCTGCGTAGAGTACATTAAACAACACTTTGAATTACTAGACGTTCTTGTTGTATAGTAAGATTCTTACTCCGTCCCCTTTTTTTGCTCCTCTTTCAATGTGGAATCACTGTCGTTACTAATTGCATTCAAGTTAGTTGGCTAATACTGACGTTCTATGCTAAATTGAAAACATTGGATTTTGGTTTTTCTCTCGGTGTCTTTTGGTTCCTTGTACTTGATATGATATCTGAAAATTTTGGCGAAGGATCGTCCGTAGTTGTTTTTAGTTTCTGAAAGTGATATCTCAAAATGACTGTGCTTTTTGTCAATATTACTATCTACTATTATCCTGTTTTATTCATGCATTACTTAGCAAAACACTGCAGTTAATTTTACTTATAAACTTTCAAATTGTTTACTTCATAAAAGCATTTATTCTGTTAAAGCATTAACAAATGACCTTTCAGCTAAGTTTAAAGTATAAAGTGAACCTCATTGACCTTACACAAACTCATGGATGAAACCAAATTTTCTTGTTGTTAAGGATTTATGTGTAAATACATTGGAATCTTACATTCACTTTTATGTGTTCTAAAAGGTTTATGAAATTATTATGGTGATAAAAAGGGATTTAGGTAAATGTGAACACGCAACTTGTGTTTGTATCTCTGCAGCACCGATACCTTTGGAAAATAAGGCTTGTTGGTCTCCTAAACTGACACCGACACTTGTGATTACATTTAATTTATTCATGTTTTTCAAATTATTATCGGTGTCGGTCTCATGTTTCTGGTGTCCGTGATTCATAGGTTTGTATACATTTTTCCATTCATGATACAAATTTGACCAAAATAAATTTACACCTAGAATATACTGAGATATAACATGTCTGTGTAATTAGAAATTGTCTAGTGCTATGTGATCAATACAATTAGTTTAAGTAGTTGCTGACATCTCTATATATTTCCAAACAGCTACGATAACAAAGAAATTGCATTGAGCTCTGGCATAATGTTGCGGGAGTGTAATGCAAACATTATGCAGGATTAATTAATATCCGCAAGATTAATTAATATACTTACACGATTGAGCAGGATTCAAGTAAAAACATTCAGTTATCAGCTTTTCACATTTTCAAGGTAATTTTTCCGCTTCATGTTTTCAAGTAAATCGATAGACACATGTGTACATTTGGATATTTGTTTTATTTATTCTTATTACATGTTTATCCAGATTTTTGTCGCTAATCCTAATAAGCCTCGAAACGTGAAAATTATTCTCGGGAAGAACCAGGAGAAGCTGCTAGGACTGCTTCATAACCTATCGCCGGGAAAAGGTTATTATATTTTCAGTTGATTCAAAACATGTAGTGAGTAACCTATTTTTTTCGAGTTACTAATCATAACTCGTTTCGGTTTTCAGGTTCCGAAGATGAGCAATTTGAAGAGGAAAAGGAGTTTATCATCAAGGAAATTGAAAGAATATCAGTATAAGTAATTTGATGCAAGGATTTTCATATTGGTGTTTGTGAGTAACTAATGAGTTTTTATGTGGACAATACACCATTTTTGTTTGTATTGTAAAGTGTAATGCAAACTAAATTTAAGGCATAAACCAATAACATTGCTTTGAAACTAATAGTAATTAGGTGAGTTCTTATTAAAAAAAAAATAGCAATTAGGTGAAATCCATCCAGAAAAATACAGTAGTTAGGTGAAAATGCTTGTCACCCCAAAAAAAGAAAATCATCACCCTTATTGAAAGCATTTTGTTTTACCTATATGCTTTTCAAATAGATCAATTTCACAGTAACAATATTTTAGTAAACTCTTCATAATAAGAATTTACAGTTATTAAGAGCTTAAACTTAATGCCATCTTGGCTGAATCCAGACACCAGTCAAGTGTTCTCTGACATGATGAAAATTGATCACTTGATCATTTTGGAACGTGTGGTAGTTGTTTGTTTCTAAAGAATAGAACACAAAATTCTGCCCATAAAATCTTGGAAAATAAATTTTGTTTTCCATTCCAGGAATGTTTGCCACAGCAGAAAAGGATGTTTTGCCAACAAAAAGCATGTGATTTTTTAGGCTTTCTACTTTGATCCATGTCATTGTAGACTCATTCAACTTGAAAACTTGAATCCCCTTTGCCATAGGACTCTCAAATACTGACAATAGATTGCCATCACATTCAACTAGAAAGTTGTTGAAGCAAGTATTGCATGGAGCTTGAGGTTCCTTAAGTACTTTCCAATTATAGTGTTCTGTTGTTGCTTCTACAACTGCTAAGTTTCCTGTTCTGCTAAGAAAATAAAATAATCCATTATGAAAAGCAGGACTTACATTGTAGACATGAAATTCCTTGTCTTTAAAGCTGAATAAACCACGACTTCTATCCCAAAGGTGTTGTAAAAATCCTTCCGTATTGGATAGGAATTCTTTATTCATATGAACAGTCACACATTCTGAAGAGGTTGGAGAATGCGACATACCAAAACAACTAGTATTTTCGATTATTTTATGCGAAAGTGGTAACATTTGTTTTGTAAAAGGATTGAAGAAAACTTGAAATTCTTTGTTAACTGACACCATTAATAGCCAACCATCTTTTGAATAACAACTTTCTGAATTCAAACTCCAACCATTATGTTGAGGAAAGTTTATGTTGTATTTGTACTCGAGACCATGCTTGGGATTCACAAAAGTGAAGATATTGTCCTTTGAGAACACAAATAAAGGACACATTGAGCGATCATCAAACCTTGACATGGAAGAAGATGATCTCCATTGAATCGGTGGTGCGGCTAGACGAAAGAATTTATTGCTAGCTCGAAAATGCATATAATCAAGCACATCATTAATATGTTTTGCAATCAATTCAACCAATTCTAAAAGAAGTACACATTCATCATAAGTTTTTTCCTCTGCATCCTTTAAATAGACTACATCACAAATATTTTTTTTCTCTCTAAGTTCTTCTTCGAGTGAAGTAGCCATCCTACAAAACATATATATTGAAAGAATAAACAGATTAAAAATAGTTGTTATATAAGGACTAATATATTTTTGAAACAAATGTGACAAAAAAAATACTCTGTATCAGGCATGAACCATCTTGAGTAAGATCGATTTTCTGATAAATTAGAGAAATGATGAGAAGTTAGAAAACAATTGTCTTGGATGTTGTAAATATAGACAAAATTGCAGTTTGTGAGGGCGATATAAACACGGCCTCCTTCAGTTTCTTGATTAATTGCTTCACAAGCAAATGCCGAGTCAGTACTGGATATATAGAACACTTTATCCTTAATGCTTTCCACTTTTTCCCACACTCGTCGAGCACAATCAAATTTGTAAACAAAAACTGCAGTAACCCTATCATGTTGATGGGAAATTTCTACTCGAAATAGCACGTTGTTGGATCCAATCAAGTGACTAATGAGTTGTTGAAAATTAGTTGGGTGATGTTTTACCATGAGATCAGTTGTGCAGTTTACTGTAAAACCATTAAGAACCTTTTCAATAACTACTATAACAGAATCATAGTGACCATCATTGTAAGTCATCAAACCCGCATAGACGCGACCATTGCAGTAAGCTGGGTTATCAAAATATGCTTTTCTTCCCAGCCTAAGTTCTTTACCCTGCATGGCTAAAGCGCTCACAACATATTTATAAAAGTGCACTTCAGTCCATTGCGCATCTCCGAGTTGGTAGTAAAACATCGAAAGGCTATAGGATGGAAATATAAAAATGGAGCAAGTTTGATCATCATTTGCAGATGGAGGAGATGACAAAATGCAACGAAAATTAGCGTGATCGTCTACGTATACAAGACGCGGGAGCATGATTTTCTTAAGGTTATATGGACTCCAAAGAAACAAGTTACTACTAACATATTTTGATAACATGTTTTGCCAAAGATACCAACCGTGTTGTACAGTTAGTAGCATTGATTCTGTCAAGGCTGAATTCCATGTATAGTAGTATTTGGATGGATCTGATACGCTGCAAAAGGTTTGATGAGTTTTTAGGAATTCACCGTCGCCGCAGGTGAAATACATAAGCAAAGGTTTTCGATCTCGTTCCATCTCGGAACCTCTCTCTTTCTCTTTCTGCATCATGAAAGAGATTCAAATCATTTTATCTATTCCCAAGTAATGAATTAACTCAGATAACTTAAAAAATAATTAACTAAGACGAGTAACTCAACATTTAAAAATACCATCAAAATAATTTAGGGTTTAGGGAATAATGGAATTTTACCTTTAGTTTGTATTCTGTATATCTGTTTAAGAAAGTAAGAAACTCCATTAATCACAACAGAAATCCTTCGACAAATCTAGGGTAGGAATACACCAAATATTAACACGCACCAACAAAGAAAAACCCTAGCATATATATACTTAGCAACAAGAAAAATAGGGTAAATTTAGTTAATCAGCTAAAAGAAGATATTTTTAAAAAATATTTTCTTCTGTTTATTATTTGTTACTTATGCATATTTATAGCAACAAACAAATCATAAAATTTATAATTAAATCAATTAAGGTTAATATGGTTTATATCACCGATTATAATTAAACTAATTGATATTAATTAAATTTAATTAAAATGCATTAACGATATAAAATGATTTTACACAATTAATTAATTATAAATGTTAGATGTCGATAAAAATTAAACTTTTATTTTAATCACTTCTTAAAAACACAAAGAGAGCACGAGTATACTACCCTATTTTTATAGTTAATTTTATCTTCAATTCAATTATTTAATTTTAAGTATTGTATTCTTTAAAAATAAATTCAATTAAATATAAAGATTTAATAAAATAACAATGCGTCTAAAAATATTTTCTTCTGTTTATTATTTATTACTGATGCATATTTATAGCAACAAACAAATCATAAAACTTATAATTAAATCAATTAACGTTAATATGGTTTATATCACCGATTATAATTAAACTAATTGATATTAATTAAATTTAATTGAAATGCGCTCGATGTAAAATGATTTTACACAATTAATTAATTATAAATGTTAGATGTCGATAAAAATTAGACTTTTATTTTAATCACTTCTTAAAAACACAAAGAGAGCACGAGTATACTGCCCTATTTTTATAGTTAATTTTATCTTTAATTCAATTATTTAATTTTAAGTATTGTATTATTTAAAAATAAATTCAATTAAATATAAAGATTTAATAAAATAATAACGCGTCTAAAAATATTTTCTTCTGTTTATTATTTATTACTGATGCATATTTATAGCAACAAACAAATCATAAAACTTATAATTAAATCAATTAACGTTAATATGGTTTACATCACCGATTATAATTAAACTAATTGATATTAATTAAATTTAATTGAAATGCGCTAACGATGTAAAATGATTTTACACAATTAATTAATTATAAATGTTAGATGTCGATAAAAATTAGACTTTTATTTTAATCACTTCTTAAAAATACAAAGAGAGCAAGAATATACTGCCCTATTTTTATAGTTAATTTTATCTTCAATTCAATTATTTGATTTTAAGTATTGTATTTTTTAAAAATAAATTCAATTAAATATAAAGATTTAATAAAATAATAATGCGTCTAAAAATAATTTCTTCTGTTTATTATTTGTTACTGATGTATATTTATAGCAACAAACAAATCATAAAACTTATAATTAAATCAATTAACGTTAATATGGTTTATATCACCGATTATAATTAAATTAATTGATATTAATTAAATTTAATTGAAATGCACTAACGATATAAAATGATTTTGCACAATTAATTAATTATAAATGTTAGATTTCGATAAAAATTAGACTTTTATTTTAATCACTTCTTAAAAACACAAAGAGAGCACGAGTATACTGCCCTATTTTTATAGTTAATTTTATCTTCAATTCAATTATTTGATTTTAAGTATTGTATTCTTTAAAAATAAATTCAATTAAATATGAAGATTTAATAAAATAATAATGCGTCTAAAAATATTTTCTTCTGTTTATTATTTATTACTGATGCATATTTATAGCAACAAACAAATCATAAAACTTATAATTAAATCAATTAACGTTAATATGGTTTATATCACCGATTATAATTAAACTAATTGATATTAATTAAATTTAATTGAAATGCACTAATGATGTAAAATAATTTTACACAATTAATTAATTATAAATGTTAGATGTCGATAAAAATTAAACTTTTATTTTAACCGCTTCTTAAAAACACAAAGAGAGCACAAGTATATTGCCCTATTTTTATAGTTAATTTTATCTTCAATTCAATTATTTGATTTTAAGTATTGTATTCTTTAAAAATAAATTCAATTAAATATAAAGATTTAATAAAATAATAATGCGTCTAACAATTTTTTTTTATATCAAAAATAGTATAAAGATGTGACATACAAAATTGAAAACAACAAATTAAGAATATATATGTTTTTTCAAACCAATGGGTTTAAAATTCTAGTTTTCTGAAAACATCTATTTTAATTATTTTTTAGACCAAATTGAAGAGTCATCATTTTTACGTAAAAGTTTATTCCAGAGGTGTATCTTTATATGTGAAAAAAATGCGGTAGAAATTGCATCTTCGTAAATACCATTTATTCAAAAGTTAGTGGTGGTCCATAGAGGCATCTCCAAACGATTTTCTTTAATATCTCACGCGAGACCCTTCCCTCTTCCCACTTCTTCATTTTTCTCTAAAATTCTAAAAAAAAAAGTCATTTGAGCTCTACAATGATTTCACACCTGCATCCATTCAATCAAGATTATATCATTATAGCTCTTTACAGCATCTCATAACATCTAACTGCTCCTTCTCATCAATCAATTTCTTTTGATAAGTTTTTTTAAATTTTCTTATCTTTTTATGTTTCGATTTTTAGTTAGTTTTTAGGATACATTAGTTGTTTTAGATACATTAGGTAGTACTATAAACGAAATTGATAGGCTATTCGAATATGCATAAAGGTTTTTTTTGGGTTTGTTTAGGCAGAAATGACGTATATGTCATGGCTGAGACAATCTGATTTGTTCGGAGATGCATCTCCGAATTTGCTATGCATTATTTTCAAAGATGCGTCTTTAGACTTGACTCGGGAAAAAAATTGAGTGATTTTGTGGATTTTGTGAATTTCTCCGGACATGCTATTTATATATGCAATGAGTGAAGGACCACGAGTTTCTGATAACTCATTTGATATTGCATCTACTTCGCAACCCCGACCGCTTGATTCTCGTATCTAACTCTCTCAGGCATCTCAGGAATATAATGCAGCAGAACCCGAGGTTTCTATGACCTCTGTTGACCTTGAAGGCCATGAAGCACAGAAGAAAGTCGATCCAGATGCTCCATTAGAGAGTTATCCAGGAGGGTCACTTGACAGCTCCTTACTTTATAATTATAAAAAGCATGTTGCTAGGCATGTTTGACATGGGGAGATATATATATTTTGGATGGCATCTTGTGCCTCCTGCGTCTTCCCATAAGGGGGACATTATTGGACCACGAGAGGGTTGAGCGAGAGGAAGGGGTAGATCTGATGGCTATTCTATTTGGGCTTGACCCTGGTAAGGCGACAGAGGAGGCGGCTCGCATTAGAGGTCCTCATGCACTATTAAGTTTTTTTGGAAACCCTTTATACAAGCCATTTGCAGGAGGTTTTAGATGATGTTGGTGATGATGTGTAGGTTGAGGACCACTAACATTGTGCATTAAGGTGTTACTTCCTGTTCTTGGTTGACACATCCATGTTTGTGGGCAAAAGTGAAACATATGTCAATGTGGTCTACCTCAAGTACTTCACGGACCTGAGTGCGATTCACGAGTACAATTGAGGTGGCCACCTATTTGGTGTACCAGTACTCGAAGCTCAGTTGAGCGAGGCTTATCTTTGGAAGACAAAGAAGATGACGAGGTGCTGCACGCTGTTTATGGTAATTTTTTATTACTAATATTTTCAAAATTAATTTGTTACACTTGTTATTAATATTGTATTTGTTAGCCCAAGGTTTGACACCAGGTTAAAATGGGAATTCTTGGTTAAAATAACAAGTTTCGACTAAAGCCATCCTTTCGACCGTGCCCTGGTTAAGAAAGAGTATCTTTTGGACTTAGAAATGTTTATAAGTGTTTGGGAATTGCCTTCGACCGGCCCAAGACGGTTGACGCGGGAAGAATACAAATTCAAATAAATAGAGGGAACATTTACATTTGAAGCAAGACAAGTGGGGCATATCCAATGGAAGAAGCAAGCAGTATGACATATGTCCAATTTAGATTGATCTAGGCGGTTACTAGTAGTTCTTTTTATGTACTATAAATAAGGGTCTTAGCAATAGGATTCAAGTGTGTGAAACATCATATTGTACAAGTCGTTATGAATTCACTGAAAGTACCCGCGTGTAAGGAAAGGAGTTGCATAGAGAATGTACATGATGTAAACACCAACTTTTATTTTGAAATCAATTTACTTTCAAAGTATTTTTTCAATTGAAATTATCTTTACATTTCCGCAAGTTACTTTCAGTTTTAGCCTTACAATTTCTTTACAGTTCTTGCCTTTAAAATTCAGTTCTTTATACTTTCAGTCCCTTTTAAGATTACAACATTTACATTTCAGTCGAAGCCAATCTTTTCCTTTAAAGTTTTACTTTCTATTGCTTTCACCCTTTTTTAATTTACAGTTTTTATGATTCTTCTATCAAAAACCAGATTTTAAGTTAACTCTTTTTCTATAAGTCCCCGTCGAAGCACCTATTTGATTATGATTGACTTAGAAACGAACACTTAGCAAAAGTCCTAGGATTTAGTGTGGTCGATCATGCAAGTAAAAACATATCTTTTTAAGTTTGTTAGACCAGAGGTTGTTTACCAAATTTCACGGCAAACGTATTGGCATGCCAAGTGGGACCCTGATAAGTGCTTTAACCTTTTAAGAATTTTTATTTTGTTATTACCAGTCTTTGTCTTTGAGGAAATTTTCGGTTTATGCTATTAAGAACTGGAAAAGTAGCCTCTACAAACGAAGAGAGACCAAGAAGAAGATATAATAGAGAGATGGCGACGAATGATGGTCAGCCAAGTAATCCTA